AACAAACAAACAACAAACACCAACACAGCTCACTCCCTTAGGGACATTTTTTTTTTTAATCAAGTCCACAAATATTCTCGAGAGAAAAGGAAAAACTGCTTATCTTGTTCTCTAAATTTGTTTAAAGCATGTAATTTTTATCAGTTTGTTTTTGTTTTTATTACTTTTTTTTCACTCACTGCTTATAAGTCTAGGAAGCAGAAGTCTCTCGGGAAGAGGATGGAATCATAAAAGTTTGCAAGACTCTCGTCAGAAACCAAGCAGTACAAATTGCACATTCTTCATAGACGGATCAGCCTTTAGTGCGTGCCTGGATCCAGCTATCATAGATTATTCCAAAGTAGAAAAGAATGAGGAGAATAAAGTTAGCAGGGCTGGGAGAAGACAACTAGTTATGGCAATACAACCCTCACTATAGTGACTTGGATTTTGAGCAATAGGAAATAGCAATCTGAAGTTTTATTTTGATACCAAAGTACTCCATAGGATCTCAATGGACCAAAGGGTTCCCTGAGTGAAGAAACAGAATACTAACAAGGACAAGCTTCATATAGCTCCTCAGAATATTTAAATCATCATTCCTGTTGCTTATCCAATCATTTCTTGCACATGCGTACCCCACCTAATATGCATAACAATATGTTTATAGCAAATACTCATCTATTTGTTTCTATTCCACACTGTGAAGTTTTCTAAGTCACAGAAGTATCCTCCTGTTTCTCACGGTATCCTAGTACTCGTGAATATGACCATATAAAACTTCAAGTTAAAGTGACAGTTTCTCAAATTTCATATAATCACAAGGAATTAAAAAAACAGTTAAGGTACAATAATAACTTTATCCACTCTTTTTTTTTCAACTTGTTACAATCTATCCTAAGATAACTAATTGTTCAAAGTAAACATTCCACTGGGACCACAAAAGGAATCCATTATACAAACATATAATTCTCAGTCATTTTTAGTGGGTTGTAAACAGTTTGGAATGAGTATAAAATGGGACAAAAATCAAAGTGAGCATTTTGAAATGAAAAAGTGTTTGCCACAGAAGGTCAGTCCCTTTGCTTGGCAAACTACGTAGAAAAGCCTGGGAAAATGCTGACCACACAAGCAATGCGGGGATCTTAGAGCCAACAGCCTCCTTGTTTCTTTAAACAGACATCGGAACCTATAACTGGATCCTGTCAAACAAACGACAGCAAAAAAATATAACAGCTGCCATGAAGGCCAGTTGAGAGATAAAGCTTTTGAGGCTAAAGACCTTCTCAGAAGTGGACTAAAGGTCTTTCTTAAATCTTTAAGCGATGTTATGGATCCCAGGGTATCTTCTGGGCAGTAAGTCAAGTATGTAACTTGTGTTTCATTCCTGTCATAGCATTTTTGGTGTTTGAGGGAAAAAATACAGAAAGGGCAACCTTCTTGTTGATTAGTAACTGCTGAAACATTCAGAAAGCCAGCTTGTATCTCAAATCATCAAATGTGGGAGATGTGAGATCACATACACAGGACCCCCAACAGACACACACACACACACACACACACACACACACACACACACACACAGTATGGTAGGACTGCTGAGATGGCTGGCTCATAGGGTTAGAGTGTGCTGCCAAGCCTCAGTACTTGAGTTAGATCCCCATGAAGCACATTACAGAAGGATAGGACTGACCCTTCCAAGTTGCCTTCTTGTGTCCACATCCATGCTATGCTGTGGGATGCACCCTCAGGAATACACAGACATAGGCACATACACTGAGTAAAACAACCTTTTTTAAAAAATTGTGATAAAAATCGCATAATGTCAAATAATTCTTTCAAGTGCATAATTTAGTAGTGTCAAGTATATTCAGCTTGCTATGTTACAGATCTCTTGGTATCCTCTTAATATGCTAAGCTGATGGGCACAGTACCAGAACTTGAAATCTTAAAGGAGCAATGAGCTATCACATCATGTTATGAACAGTGAATGTCAATCCTATTATATAATTTTAAAAATTCAGTTGTCATTCCCTTACACTCAGAAATTGTACTTGATATACAAGAACATATTAGGGGAAATTATGTTCATCAATTTAGTAAATTCTGTCTCTCTATAAAAGAAATCTCTGGGATAGTCTGTTTTTGGTTTTTCCATTTAAGCCTGTCTTTCCAAGTAAAAAAGCTGGCTTGTTCTCCTACTGCGGTCACACAGTGGGTCAAGATAATAGCTTTCTGAAAAAAAGCAAAATTAAACTTACCATGGTTCTGTGAGAAAATGAAAGCAAACAAGCATGCATTTATGAATCAGGGGCTGACAGATAATTATAAAGCATACATCTTTGTTTTTCTGTTTTTTTTTAATGGTTTTCTGTCTTGTTATACCAGTTCTTTCCTCTCAAAGCACTTAGCACTGTTTGTGCTTTGTCCAGGTGTTTAGTAACTATTTCTTCTACAGTATTAGTGTATAACATGTAGACCAATATGCATCAAGTGATGGCTTCTTCATTCATTAATATCCAATGTATCTTTGCAAGAAGAAACTCAAGTTGAGAAGTTCATTGGTCTATCAGGGTACCTCACTGTCTTCAACTATAAAAGTAAGGCAGAGAGAAGGAGCTGCAATCTGCCAAAATCAGTGTGATCTTTGTACAGAAGTATGTTTAGGGCTGCATAGACAATGTCAGAAATGGCAGTACAACTGGCTGGGGAGGAAAATGTAGTTTGGTGGTCAAGGGTTTAGGGGATAAAACTGAGACTAGTGACTGTACCAAATAAATCATTTGCCAGTTGGTTTACAAGGCTTACTTAACCATTTTTTCTAAGTTGTGTACAAACATTCTAAAAGTTTAAATGTAACTCACGTCACTTAACTGAAGGTGAATGAAGAATATACTTCTTGCTAGTCACTGGGTAGAACCTCAGGTGTTTGTTTAGGTATGGTTCATTGTGACTCAAGCAGCAAGAAAACTGAGAAGAGGCAGAAGCAATACTGAGATTGTCTGCCCTGTCACGCTTCAGTTTATAATCAAATAAATAAAAAGTATTTTAAAATACAGCTTGAGTTTTATAGATACCTTTAAAAAAAAGAATCACAAAGGGACAACAAGGAAGGAGCCAAATCCTTTTTATAATGGCCAGTGTGCCCACATCATGAGCACAGAGGCCATTTCCCCAAGACCGGGAGAGTGAATGCAGACTTCATTAAGAGTGTCTTTCCTAGAGCAAACCCAAAAGCGTTTCCCATGACTGTGCAGTTGAGCTTTATGGCTGGAGGAGCATCTGGCCATTAGAAGGAGCTCTCCAGACATGCCGAGTCCCAGCCATGTCGAGATGCTTGGCTCTGTCCTTGGCTACTTCTTAGTACCAACCCTGCATCAAATGTCATCAGAAGCCTGCATAAATATTGGATTTAGATTCACATAAATTACTTCTGTCCTGAGGTGCAATATGCCAAAATGTAGTAAAAATAACACTTCGACTAAACAGAATTGGTGTATAAATGTAAAGCTACTAATCCAACAAAATGATCATAGAAAAACGTAACAGAGTACACACTTATAAATCTTGCACTAATGTGAGACCTTTAGCTTGTGTCTCTGAGTTTTTATTGAACATATCCACGAGGTTCCTTTAAGCTAACACTGCCAAAGTGCTTTCAATTGTCAGTTGCTTTGCAGAATTATAAAGTGTCTTTGAGTTTCATTAGAATGCTCAGGAATTATTTTAATAATCATATGTGCGATTAGCAGCTGTTTAGTGCTGGATCTACAAATTCATTTTGAGAGTAAACATTGGGACAATAAAATATAATGCTGTCATGATTGCCCCTGTCAGCAGAAACATCATCTTACTTTATTAAAAATCACCATGAAAATGCCAGGCACAGATACAATTCCTATTTATAGACACTTTCTATTCTATGATATTATGGTATCTGTGCACAGCAAAGCTACATTTAGCAGGGATTTTCATTTTGCCTTAGGTAGGCTCACAAATCAGGAGATATAAGCTCTTCTTCCTGTGTGCATACATCTTACTATATACGGCTTCCCCCAATGGCCTATTTGGATTTTTGATCTAATATAATAATGTTCATACCGTTGGTACTCAGTATTTAAAAGTGAATGAAGATTTCTTGGAAATCATGATAGTTTAGCTATTGGAAATAATAACACTATTCTCACTGATCCATTTTGGCTTTAAGTATTTATTAAATAATATTTACTCCTAAGATAGGTACCTCTAAATTAAATGAAATTGCAACATGCAATAAAAACACATTTCTCTCTAAATTCCAATCAGCTTCATTTCTCACAGACACTTCTGGTGCATATTCTGCGGTAACTGTTTCCTGCTCTCTGGGCCCTCAGCTCCTCCTGTTGTCGATGTGCTTTTCTGACAGTCACTATCTTTATCTGTGTCCCTACCCACCCCTTCCCCTCCTGTTATTCTTTCATTCCCTACTGATATGGGAATAATAGGATCCCAAGGCTGTCCTTATTGTATAATTAAAGTATGAATTTCTAGGAGTTAGAAATTGCATGCCGTTTTTATTATGCTTCTATAATAAAGCCAGGTAACACTGAGAGAATTAAAATGGCCTTTTCTGGGCAGAATACTTGAAGATTCCCTCCCCCTTTTGGTTGTATTGTTTTAAGAAATAGGTGTTGAAAATAAGAATAGGTTCAGCTATTCCTTTCCTCTGCAAACACCTCTATCTTTCACTTGATATATATCCCCCTAGATCCTGGAAATATGTTGTAAACTTGTAACAGATGGTGATGAAGCTTCACATTCTTTATTTAATACATTTTTTTAAAGATTCTGCATTTACAGTGTGTATCTTCCAGGAAAAATGACCTTGAATGAATGAAGTCATAGTTCGAAGGAAAAACACTGCACAGATAAACTAGCCTAGAAATGATGAGTCAATTGGGGTTTATTTTGTTCTCTTCAGTGAGATGAAACAATTTCAGATGAAAAACAGAATGTTGAAACAGAGGAGTCAAAGGTCATCTTAACACTGGAGGTGTATCTGTTAATTGTTCCAGGAAACCCAGTTTAGCTGTAATCTGTACTGAACAGAACCATGTGGAAGATGGCGTATCGCTGTCTGTGAGTAGAAACGCTGTTTGCTTTACTTGGGTGATGCTGGGGGCTTACCAAAAAATTGTTCTGGCACATCTACCAGCATGAATGTGAGAGGGTTCTAACACTGTGAGTGCTGATATTTTATGAATGTTTTACCACTGGCTTGGAAACAAGAAGTTTGCAATTGATTCAACAGTACGTCAGACAGACAAAATATTAAAGGGAAAAAAAAAACCCACCACGGAACATTAGTGAGAATTGCTAATGTCCCCAATGTAAAAAACAAACTGAAGTTAATAAGAAACCTGATCCTCTTAACCGATTAACAAAAGTCAAGTTTTAATTGCATGGCTTCCCAGAGAAAACAAGTGGCTCCACGAACTTGAGCCCTAGCTGTTCGAAGGACTCAGCGAGGTTGCGCATTCAGTCACCCACCTCTTTTTTCAACAGCTTCAATGCATTGCTTTACAAACCATGGAACTGTGGAATGTTCTCGTTCACACACTGTGTGCAGATGAGAGCCAAAAATTTGATCTGCAAACGAAACAAAGATGAGCGTCATTAAAATCCAAGCCCGTGTTGTTCTTTAATTTGATTCTACTTCCATAGCCAATACTGAGACCTTCATCTTGCATAGGAATTGATTTTTGCTTTACTTTCAAAGGGTCTATGGCAGATGTATAAAGACCGTGTGACCCTTCTTTATGGAATAGAACCCTGATCTCCGGGTAAGAAAAATTAACATGGTCCTTGATTAGGCATGGGTAAAGAGTGAGATATAGTCTCTAAGGGACTGCTCTCTATTGTCTCTGAAATAATGCAGAGGAGCTGAGGTAGCTCCCATGAAATAATTAAGCTTAGCACATCTGGAATCCTGCTTGTTTTAGAAGTTTATCAGCAGTTATCAAGAATGCAGTTTGTCCAGTTTATTTAAGGCATTCATTCTGCAGGGGAAGAAAGTAGCAAGGGAAGTACTATAAAGTATTGCTAAGAGTTTCTCCTGCCTTGAATGCCCATCCTCTTGTTAGATTTAAGTATCCCCTCTCTGACAAGTTCAGCTCAGAACTTCCCTATGTCATCTGCATTAGACTCCCAGCATAGCAGTTTCTCCGGTTGCTCAACAGATGCAGCAGGCAACAGGGCTCCTGTTCAAAATGGCCCAGCAACATCAAATTAAACCAAGTTAACCGAATTTAAGTCATATATTAGAGTGATTTAAAACATTCTTATTTGTTTGAGCGATGACATATGTGAGTTTCTATAAGAGTGTGGTAGAGATAATACTCCTCAGACTCAGTTTTTGAAATTTCGTTTATTTCAGAGGGCGTTTCTCTGAACTAATACTGATTTGGGCTCCGAGATTCCAGCCTTTCCATTTCATTTAGAATAAGACAGATGATTTTTTTGAGCAGTGTTTTTGCATTTATGATTATGGAATTATGGCTTGGATTTAAACTGTCTTCTGAAGATTCATTTATTGAAAGTGCCATTCCCCATCTGGGGGTAGTACTGAGATTGGACCTTGTGATTGGACCACGAGGGCTCTGAGCTGATCAAAGGATGAATTCATTAACAGATACTTCTTCCGACAGTATTTTCCAGCCACCTCTCAAAGATAGGTGCCACTAAATTCCGTTGTCTGTACTAATATCTCTGCTTTATTTGGGTATGGGGCTTATCTCCACTTGACATGTTAGGCCTATGTTGACTATGTAGTTTGTTTAACTTGCTTAAAATTCAAATCCAGAAGGGTCAGGGTCATACAGTTACTATGTGTCTCCAAGACTCACACAATGTTTATACATAATGGAAATTCACCAAAACTGTTTTGAATTGTCAGTAGGGGTATGGTAGAAAAGAAATTTACATATACAGAAATGAAGAGAAAATATATAACGCTGCATAACACAATGCTAACGGGCAAAGCATTTTGAAGACAAAGAAACCGAGATCTCAAGGAAGCTGAATTTACATCTATTGCCTAGGAAAATGTATTGGGGAGTGCTGGTAAAAAACGTCATGGAGGAAATCAAGTTAGGATAATGCACTATTAATAACACACTCTGATGTGGAAACATGTGTTTATACAAGAGACAGGAAGAAGATTAAACTCAAAATCCAGATAGTATAAAGAAATGGCAAACAATTGTATATATTTTGAACACTTGATGAGGTAGCAGAGATTTGTTCCAAACGCTAACCATCCCTGTAATAAAGAGTGACATGAATATTACCTGAGAAAAATTGTCTAGAACTTCAGAGCAAATATTTTACAATGGCTGAAGTGAAGGTCACAGTCAGGAAACATTAGTACAACATATAAACCTATTAGTAGACTTCTTACTTTACATCTATTGCAAAATGTTGATTGACTCTTCTATCTGCACAGCAACAAAGCAGGCAGTTAGTCAGTTCATGTAAATATATATACTAGGATTTTCTAATACTATAGGACTGTTACAGCAAGCAACTTGAGAGATTTTGAGTGATAAAAATGGTGCCCTCCAGTATAGGTGTATGTCTTTCCATGCTTGAGAGGGAGGGAGAGATAGATAGATAGATAGATAGATAGATAGATAGATAGATAATTTTCATTTCTAAATACCCCTACTGACAATTCAAAACAGTTTTGGTGAACTTCCATTATGTATAAATATTGTGTGAGTCTTGGAAACACATAGTAACTGTATGACCCTGACCCTTCTGGATTTGAATTCTAAGTAAGTTAAATAAACTACATAGTCAACATAGGGCTAACATGTCAAGTGAAGATAAGCCCCATACCCAAATAAAGCAGAGAGAAGGGAGGGAGGAGGGAGGGAGGAAAGGAGGGAGGGGGAGAGAGGGACAGGGAGATGGAGAGGGAGAGGTAGATGTAGAAGAAGAGTAATAGAAAAAGGGAGGAAATTACTTTGGATGGAAGTCATTTAAGGAAAAGTAGATGCTGTCATGAAGTGAGTGCTAAATTTCTAATAGAGCTTTGTTTTGCTTTCTTTTTCACCTGGATGTAAGAGAAAGACACAGAAATGGATGATCTAGACAAGCAATATAGAAAAGTGACTTTTGGTGTGTCTAGAGATTTTGCTTTCTTCTCTTAAATTTCCTCTTTAATTCACTTAGCTATCTGTGAAAGAGAATCACAAATGTTTATTATGTAGCACAGTAACTCCAGAATATCCCATATATGCATTACAATACCTTGCACTCTCCGTCCTCTGCATATATCCTGTGTAGGAGACTGACACCAAAGGAAAGGGAAAGAACATGCTATTGTGAATATGCTGTGCCTGGGTTCGGAAAGATGCATTGTGGGAGTATATAGATAAGGTCAGATCAGCCTTCTCCATGCACAACTTCCCAGCAAAGAGCTGAGCCAAGCCCTCAGATATAAGTAGGACTTGAGTAGAAAACTAAGAAAGGGACACAATGGGCATTTGTAGAGACGGAGGATAGCATGTGCTAACACTTGAGAGAGTGGCGGTTATGACCAGGGTGCTTCATTCAGGGAAAATTCAGGGCTTATTGAAATCTTGAACTAAGCCTGAAAAGGAAATGAATATTGTATTATGATGTGTCCTATATTTTGTCAACTAGGCTCAGTTATTTGACAGATACGAATGATCTGCTACAAATAAGTCCTTTCTTTATAAGTTCCTTTCTTGTTCTGAGAATTCACTCAAGATGGCCAAATGGCCCAACAGGTAATGCCATTTGCTGCCAAGAAACCCAATTAAAATTCCTCTGATCCAAACAGAGAACAACTACTAGGACATTTTCTTTGATCTCTACATAGTAAAAGAAACATACAAACACCTACACACTTACATATTTATGTGCACACAAAATCACAGTCAACAGAAATGTAATAGAATTCATAAGACATAACCCAAAATTATTCTTGACTGAAGTCTACATCCCTGCACTTCTGGATGATGGGATAGTCTGAACAAGCAAGGTAGAAAAGTGATCTTGAAGTGTGCCCTGAGACTTTACTTTCTTCCCTTGTGAAAAGACTGTAGAAAAGGAGACACTTTTTCTCCTTGTTCCCAAGTGGAACGTCACCTTATGGTAGCACTTGGATCTATTTGAGCATTCATGCCACTCTGAGACAAGCATTAGAACAAAGGCTAATTTGCTTTACAAAAGAAAGCAATGGGACATGTTATATACCAACCATGAAGCCCTTCTGTAGATTTCTTATGTGCCATTATTTTAAACAGGATTGTCCACTACTTTCAGCCAAAGGCATCCTAACCAATATGGAGGAACATTAGCAGGTTGCTTGACTTTTTATAGTGAAGTGTGTATTATTACCATAATTTTGCTTGATCTATGGTTAGGTCATGCTTAGACCTATGGTGAGAGTCTATTTGATAGTTTATAAAGAGCATGGTGGCACAGAGGATGGGTTGATTTGATACTAGTATCTTAGCTAAATAGGCAATACAGAGTCTACGAAAGATGTTAATACCAAGTCAGGAAAACAGTGTAGATTTTGTTTTGTTTATCTTTTTGGAGTTAGAGTGTGGATTTATATTGTCTTCCCTGTGACCATAAGGTTCCATTTATTAGAATACATGGCAGTTATGTCTCTTCATAGCTCTAGTGCTGGGCTTGATCTACAGGTGGCTTGGTGTGGTGTGATGTGAACAGAAATGTGTCAGTTCCAGATGAAAGTCTTAGGGAGCACTGCAATCTTCCCCTCAACTTGTTTCTCTGTTGTTGCTGAAAGCAAATCTTCCCTGGCTAACTACTGCTCTATCATCCTCTGCTCTGGGATAAACATGTATGTCCAGAACTCAACCCAGTGTTTAGAAGTTTAACCAGACTGCATATAAAGCAGGCCTGTCCAGCCAGACCTGTTGTAGGTCACACATGACACACTCCCACTGTATATTATCCTATGTGCTTCAAAGGTCTGTTTGTTATTCAGCAATAGCTTGCTGATTCAACTTCAATTGGAATTCAGGTTCATGATAAAATATGGTTTAACCTGTGCTGTCAGATGAAAAGGACTAGAAATAGCTGGACATGAAGACTGAGACTAGAAAGAAAAGTATAAGATATGAAGTTAGCCATAATAAGGCAGTATATGCTCAGTTTTAATTCAGTGTATGTATAAACCCCAAAGGAAGTTATTTATAACTTAGTATTTATTCTTGTTATACCTTACAAAATACTATGGCATTTCTTAGTCTGTGTTTTTAATTCTACACAACTCAATTCAGTAGATAGCAGTGAACACGTAGCATATGCTGAGTAGTGCAGAGAATGCAAAGTTTCCTTCATTCATCACTCATTCATTCATCACTCATTCACTATTACATGCCAGATAGTAGACAGGTTGCATTACAGCCTGGAAGTGTCCATAGCTTAATGTACACTTCCTATAAGACTTTCACAGTAGTCCCACTAAAATGTAATTTGTGCTATTACAGCAAACAATCATGGTGTTTAAATATATGATCCTATAGAGACATGGAATCCTCATTCAAATTGTCATACCATGTAATAATAACAATTTAAAAGAGATCATGAACTTGGGAAGATTGGACAGGAAGAGGGAAGAATGATAGTGATGCAGATGTATGAAGTTCTAAAAAATAATAATAGTATTAAAAAGTAAAATATCTTATGTTAAAGTGTGTTTCATGAACTACTAGACACCAGGACTTGCCAACATAGTTCTTTTTGGAATCCCATTTCTTTCCCTGCTAGTGCGATACCTGCGGTTCATGACTCTAGGTGGCTGCCCAGCACTGTATTAGCTCCCACTGACTATAAGGTGCTTTTCCCTCTGGTAAAGGTGAAAATATAAGGTGAAATATTATAACTTGGGCTCTTTTTATATATTTTACATATTTAACCTGCTAATCAGTCTTCATTGTGTTGATGGTAGATGTTACACTATATTAATTTTACAAAAAAAAAACACCTTTAAGTCATAGATACTGAATTGTTGTTCATGGTCACAAAGATTTAGGCTATGAGCAACAAAACATGAAAATGAACCAGAAAAGAAGAGATGAGACTCATGACCCAGTGGGTATGAGAAGACGATATAGGATATCGAGCAGACAATGAAAATCCCCCGCTTCCCCTCCCCTCCTTTTTTTTTTTTTTTTTTTTTTTTGGTTGAGGAAGCATGAGAGTTCCAAGAATGGGGATAGGAACTTAATAGTGAAATTAAGGGTTTTAGATGTAGCAGAATGGTGATGGACACAAATATAAGAAGCTGCCCTTTGCTTCTGACAACTTTTAAGATATGGGTGATTGTAAAGAAAGTCATCTTAGCAGAGTGATAACAATGGAATTCGGATGGTTTTGGTGAAGTCTTGGGAAGAAGATGAGGAAAAGATGAGTTAGATAGACAAGATTGTAGGACATGGTGTTTTGCTTGGGAATAGATAGAAAAACCAAGTGTATTGCAGTTTTGATTGCTGAGTGGATGAGGATGTACACTACTGGCTATCTCAGGTAGTCATGTGGGAAAAGAGGAAGTGTACTATTGCCACTTACAGGGCCATCCAGAAAAATGGGTATCCCATAAAAAAATTCTATCCTTCTTCCATTGCCAATAATGCCCTAGGAAGTAAAGCAAAACAAAGCAAAATGACCTCACCAAACCTAAATATTTTAAATTTCAGTAGTTGGAAAGTGTTTGAGTTCAGTATTTATTAACTAATTTTTCTCATATTTCTTATAACCTTCTTAAGATTTATTTTTGTTACTCAAGAGTATATTGCTCTGGAAAACAGGATCTCAGCTCCAACATGATCCATCAAGGTCTAAGGCTATCTTATGGATCAAACTGGGGCCTCCTTCAAGAAATTTAAAATTCAGATGTAGAGAGATTGAGGATAATATCATCATTTATAGATTTGAACTGTGAGGCTGCCTAAAGTTAAACATTGAGAATTTTACAGCCCCTTCTGAGCTGGCTATATGGGATGACTATGTGAACGTAATAATTCTACTTGGAAGAAATTGGTGAATGAAACATATGCCCAAAAGCCATCCATAGCAACTACATCTTATCCATGGTACTTAGACTTCCCAAGTCCTAAACCACAAAGGTTTCCCTCTACTTACCTTGATAGCAATTGTTCAAGTTGTGTTACTATTGTAAATGTGACAAAAGCATGGACATAGCATTTCCCAGGAGATTGCAAAAAAGAGGGCACAATTACAATATAAAGGGCCAAGATCAACAAAATGGCTCAGTAGAATCTCCACCATTCCAGAGGGTGCTGGACAGGAAGCAGGTTGTATGCATCAAATTTCTCTGGAAGAACACACAGAAGATTTAGGGCAGAAGTGAAGAACAGAGCTGAAGGAGGACTATGAAACTATACAACATTTTGTGCTCCTGGATTCAGTTACAGCCCACACAGTCCGTATCTCTGAACTAGACAGTTAAGTAATCAGAAAATTTTCATTATTACATAGCTGGGTTGTCCACTTTCTATGAATTTGCAACTGAAAATAATCTTCAGCAGGACACTGGACTTCATCATAAGTTATGAATTACTTCTGTCAGAGGGAAATCTTATTAAAGAAAGAATATTATATAGATAGATGTAAAATAATATTATCAAATCTAAGGGTAAATTTAGAATTGCCTCCCATCTGCAGATCTGACCAAGTCCAGAGTTCAACATACCAAGGAGAACCTTTATGTTACAGGAAAGTGTTTGACTTTCTTTCTTAAAATAGTGTAGACAAGGGGGAGGGAAAGAGGAGAAATTCTTTTTTCTTGGCAAGCTTACATGACCAGCTTTGCCCCTAAACTCCATGCTTGTTGCCTGGCACACCATTAAGGATTATTTCTGCTTTCCTCCTCCTTATGGATATTCAAAAATGGGAGCCTTCCCAGAACCCCGAGTTCCTAACTCCCCACCTACATCCCCATCTGTGGGCTCACTGCTAATCTTTTCTTCCTGTCTTAACAACTTTTGTTTTGTATTTAGAAAAGGCCTCTTGCCTGAGGTGTCAATATTTTTGGAATCTTCTGCAAACGTCTCTGGCCTTGGCAAGTGCGATCATTATATCTCCAGCCTACTGCTGTAGCGTTTATACCAAGGGTGGCAGGCAACACATTGTTTGGAGAAAATCCATTTTCTGTGATTTTTCATTGAAAGCATCTTTTGGTGAGAAAAATAAATAGACCTTCCACATGACTGTACTTATAAATCATGTTGTTTACATAATGAATTAGAGTTTAACTTGAGAATGGTGGGTTTTAATCTTTAAGCTCTCAAACTTTTGACCGATTTAGTTAGTTCATCAGCATAACCAGGTTAAGTCACCCAGACTACAAATTAGCTTCATTCTCCTTCCTTGCTGCTGTATATTTTTTGACAAATTATGGGAAGAACACCCAGTAATGGGTTCTTTGTCAGCTAGATTCCCAATGAATCAAACGTACGAGGAGAACTACTCAATACGTGCAGTTAAATGTTCAAATAATGTGACAGTGTTACCATCATTTACCTAGAAGACAGTCTCTGCACACTTTTCAAAATGATGTCCTCTTTTCAGGAAGGCAAGCCACTAAAGCACCGAGGATGACACATTGTGAAGAGTGGAGAGGAGGGCAGAAAGTAGGAACAGCAACCTGGACTGTCCAGCTCAGAAGCTAAGCAGACAACGATCATCGAAATGGGGTGTATTTATTGAGGTGATCAGCTGCTCTTGTTTAAGAAGCATACAACATTGTGTTTACATTAAGAAAACGGATGATTATATAAGAGATTGAGGAGTAGATATGGAAGGAACAGAACAAATACAGTCTAAGTGATTAGACTTAAAGATGCTTTGAGGTTAAATGTTCAAGGCATCATGAAACAGGAAGTCAGAGAAATACCATGTTCATACACAAGCAACAAAACTAACCCTAGTGTAGTCAAATTTCAATTACATTAGTTTCGGTGAAGGATGCTTCAGTGCCTGAGATCAAACAATACAATATATGCAAGGAAAGAAAGCATATAGCCCTCTTGGCTTTCAAAGAAGGTCACATTCACTTGAATTTTTCTCTCTCCAAAATGTCACATACAGGCAGATAATTTTTAATATGTTGTCATATGGGAGATGAAGGGGTTTGTGTAATATGCAAATAATATCCTTATCGTGTAATTTTAGCAGTATAAATGAATTCTTTATTTTAATTTCTTTCTATTTTCTTTTCTTTGTGAGATTTTAATAATATATATAGCATTTCCCTTTTCTTTTTTCCCCTTTAAACCTTTTCATGTACCCCTTCTGCCTATTTTTCAAATCTAAGGCTTTTCTTTATGATTTGTAATTATATGCATTGATGACTGTGTGTATATGCATATGTCTTTCTAAGTATAACCTAAGAAGTATGCATAACATTCCTTGTCTGTATGTTTTCTGGGCTGATCATTTGGAACTAGATAACCAATTGTTGTGCTCTTCCCAGGAGAGCACTGTTCCTCCCACTCTCCTCATTCCTCAGTTGCCTGTAGTTCTTCATGTTGTGGTGAAGCCTATGGACTTTCCTTTACATCCTTTGACATGTCTATTGGTATCATCGGTGTTCAGCTCATGTTTAGGCAATAATAGTTCACTTTTTAAATCTCTTTTAGCTCACTTCGTACAGTTACTTTTCTTCTCTTCAAATACAACATAACATGTAGGCACATTTTAGCAGGTCAGAACAGTCTCTAAGCTTTACTGAGATGGTATGCCAGGTAGGTGATTTGAATGAGCACGTGACTGGAGTTTATGTCTGTATGGAATACAGACGTCTATCTCGTGCTGAAAGATGAGTGTACTATCATGTATCTCTTTAGTGCTTCAGAAAGTGCTTGATTTTCTTACAAACTTCATGGTTTTGCTTAAAAGTATAAGCAACTGCTTTTTGGTCTATAAATACAAGACATTCAGATGAGATTCTGCAGAACTTATAGCATATAGTGAACCTCTAATTGCCTTATGACTTTTGACATAAGAGACAAGAACAAGAAAAATAATGGATGCTTCCAACTTTTCAGTATTTTAAATTGTAAATAAGCAGGCATTTCCAAATGCTATATATGTACCTTGCTTCTGTTTGTTCATTTATGTTGTTCACACATGTCCATTTTACTTTGCTAAAGCTCAAAGTACTACAGTCTATGGAAGATAATATCAGCATCCACTATGGGAAGATTGGCCTAGAGATTTGCCTAGACAATGCAGCTATCTCGAGTCTGGTGAGGATGAGACTGTGAGGATGAGGATTTCATTTGAAGATGTACAGCTGGCTGTCATGGCAGTAGCATTCTTTGACAAGAGCAGAGCAAGGGTGTATTTTGGTGAAAGCTAGCTACCATACAGATGGAAATGCAATGTTCTTCCCTGTACCTTATACAGTTTTCATCTTCCCTTTTTAGACTTTTAGGAGTGTCTACTTCCCACAGATTCATGGAGGATGTCCTTTTATAAAGTCCCTATTCATTTAAGCTTGCATGGAATTACACCCCAACTGTGCTTTTTTCTGATTGGTGAAATGGGATCTTCCAAGAGTGTTCAGCAGCCAGAAAGAAATTAGTATCTTCAACTCACTAACCCAGTAGCACAGCGAGCATGGAATTTGGTGTTTGTTTTTTTAGAAGGCAACTTTGACTCATACTCTCTGCTTACACAAAACTGTTCCCTCTTCACACATACACACACACACACACACACACACACACACCAACACACACACACACACACACTGAATCACAATAGTAGAGAGAATGGTAAAAGAATTTCTATACAATATCATTTCATCTATTCAAAGTATCCATCAAAGATTTTTTAATATCTTTCAGAAACAGTAAAACTGTTATATTATATACTGTATACAACATACTAATAACACACACACACACACACATATATATGTGTGTGTGTGTGTGATGAGTGTGTATATGTGTGTGTGTGTGTATGTGTAGTGGGGAAAAATAAGCACATTAATACATAATATAAAGTCAGAAACAGATAAGCAAAGGTAGAGCTCATGGTATATTCAGGGAAGACATCTCTGAATGAAAGTCTTTTGAGAGAACTGAGCAATGTAAACAGACAGAGCAACAGAAAACTCTGAGGGCTGCTGGAGAAAGCTATGGCTTAGAGGGTTGGATGGCTGACATAGGATGACTATGAAGCAGGGCAGTGCTGAGGAAACTGAAAAGATAGGCCAAAGTTCTGGAGGCCAAAGCAGGTAGAAACACATACATAGGTCATAAGAGGACACTAAACCTAACTTTGAGTATGGTTTTATGCAAAGGAATTGGAGATGGTTGAGCAGGGGGTGAATGGTATGATTTACATCTCTAAATGATTCCTTGGAGCAGTTGTTGTGCAGAGACTAAATTTAAGAGGGTCAAGCAGAGAAGCAGAGAGGCCAGGCAGGGGGCTGGTGAAATATTCCCCAGGGAAAGGATGGAACTTGGATAAGGATGGTAATAACGGAAGTGACTAAAAGTGGTTTAATTTAGAATATATTTTTAGGCAGGATTTGCTGATGGAAGTGAAAGAGACAGAGTTAGAGTGGAGGGTGACTCCAGCTGGCACATGGCTGTGGTATTTCCTGAAATAGAGAACACGTGGGAGCCAGGGAATCAAGGGTTGCTCTGGATAAATTTGAGATGTCTACCAAGCACCCAGGAAGATGTCAAGTAGACATTTGAATATGCAAGTCTGGAGTGTGAGGTTGACGTTTTAAGTTTGGAGAATATCAACCTACCGATGGAATTAGAAGCCACAGAGATGGAATATTTCAGCCCCAGAATGTTTGAACAGGATCCAATAGTTGGAGAATAAGACGAATAGAGAATAGATAGCCAAGAAAGAAATGAGGAGGAGGAGAAGAGTGAGACCCACCAAACAGGTGACCCCTGATCTGAGTTTCTAGTCTCATCCTAAGCAACATGTACCCATGATGGACAGAGATGAATAAGATGGTATCTAAATTTACAGCCCATAGTCTAAAAGGATGATATGAAAACATGACATAATAGCTTTGGGGACAGAAGCAAAAATTAACAAGAGGGAGGAATACAAGGATAGTTTCAGGGTGTTGGTGACTTTCAGTTGAAAAGTGTAGAAGAGACTCAAAGTTCACTATGTGAAAAACTAGTGTTCAAGGCGACAGAGACTTTGCATGGTAGGAAAAGAGAAATGCAGCCTTCTCTTATTTTTATATGCATGCATTACATTATTATACTTATGCCTCAGGTACTTCCAGTCACTAAGTCAATATATTAATGAATGAAAGACAAAAGTGAGAAAGAAAAAATGTTTTATAAAATTAAGTTATTCAAATCCAAAGACAAGACATTATTAGTTGACATTGGGGAAATAAACTTTAGTTCACTTCGTGAGTTTTACATGATTGCTATGAGCAGATATTTGTTCTGCAGAGAGTGTTTCTTAGCAGTGGGAGTTGACAAAGTTTTGTACTTTTCATTTGCTCGTCTTTGCCTCTTTAGAATTATGGATACAGTCAACAGTAGAAAGAGGATCGTTTATAAAATTCAAGTACGTCAGATTTTGCTATCTTCTCCAATATGTGTTTGCTGACTCTTTATGCACTTTCAATAGATATTTCATAGAATTCACCTGCTTAATCACAAAGCTTAGAATAATTCATCTCCAGTAAAAAGTTATCATCAAGTATCATGTTCTTTAACTAGGAAGGGCTGCTTTATTGAGGGTAGACACTACTGTGAAATAAATAATTTTATTTATAATTTTTTACAAATTTGAAATAAAATTTAAATTCTTTTTATAAATTATATATAACCGCAATTATAAGAAGAGGATCTGATGAATAACATTTAGGCAAATTAAGTGAATTAATTCTAAATAATTTATCTTTTCAGGCCAACTAACATAGACTGAAGATGAAAACATTATCCAGTGATTAAGAATCGAGAGATTCTTTTTGGTTGGGGAAAGCACAGAGATTTTAACTCCAGAATTAAGCAAACTCTAGGTAAGAAGGCTGTATTCTCTCTAATATTTGCATAGATTTGTTAGAATCCCAAGTGGTAAAGACTTCAATTTATTTGCATTAATGTAGAGTTCAATAAGAAAAGACTCAAAGTCAGTAGGAGTAAAACTGCTTAATGATTTCAAATATTGCTTGTAATGTATTAATATAACAGGTTTGAATATCTATAATGGAGTCTCTTTCATTTGGGTCTTAAGGGTGTTCTTCAAGCCACTAAGGCTGAGCACTAGGTATGTGTTGAAGTACGAAAGAGGAAAGCACTTTAGGTTAAAAGCACTTTCTCTCTCAGCCCCGGGTTAAAAGCTATTTTAGGATTCTGTTAAAGGCATTCTTTAGTCCTCAGTTTGGCTTAGAAGTGGCTTTTGATGAGAAGTGCTTTGAGGCAGGTAAAGGATTTTATAATAAACCATACTAAGAGCCTGAGAGTCCGGTGGCTCGGTGGAACCTTGGGTGGCTTGGTTGGGAGAATGTAAGCCGTGCTTAGAAATTCCCATTCTGAGTAGGTTGTTTGAAGCAATGTGGCTCACTAGTTATTCTGTGTAAATAAGTGGAAATCCAGTTTCAGCTGTGTAATTAGAGAGAAGAGATTATGATTCCAAATTAGAAGGCCAGGATGCACACATCCTGAAAACAAATTGTCTTTTTTGGGGTTTCTAGTCAAATACTGTTTTTTTTTCCCTCAATTTTCAGCTCTTACTGCAGAAAGGGTCAATTCAAAGGCATTTCTAAAACACCTAATCTACCCAAAATTTACCCACAAAACAGGGTGACTAGGCATCCTATTGGGAGAGGCCATTTTGTATCTTACACATTTTCTGGGTCAAGGCTGCTCTTCAGACCCAGGCAACAGGATTTCTTATTGGGATGTGAAAATGCTATAGAAATGGAATGGAGATCTCAGTTGGAAATGTCTATTGAACAGGCAGAATGATGTCTATAGCCCTTTATGTTTTCCCATAAGAGTTGATTTTAGCTGAAGTACTGTTTGTGAACTTGCTGAGGTCAATGAGAGTTCTAAGAGAGGGTAAAGGATACATGTACTATAGCTATATCCAGGGGCTAGGAATGAATTCTGCTAAGGAAACAGCTCCAGACACAAAGGAATGAGCAGTTTTTTTCCACCTTGTGAGTTTCAAAGCCTCTGAGCAATGCTTTAGGTCTTTGAAAACCATCTACACATGCAAAAATGAGGAGCAAAGAACAGTCTTCTTGCATTCTCTGTTGAGCACAGGAGCATCAAGAGGCACTGAGCATGGCTACCTGGAAGCTTCTGCAAGCATAGCTGCTCTAGGCAGGGAAACAGCTCACTTTCAAAGTTGCTGTTTGTCCAACTGCAGTGATATGCTTTCTTTGGGCAGTGTATGGAGGACAGTGTCTAAAGGAGAAAAAAAACACTAAACAAAAAAAAAAAAAACAAAGGGCAGGAGGGCTATATCATATACCTTATTCTAGGCAATGTACTCCAGCACTCCTATTAAGAACTGGGGAATTTTCTTTCTATAGGAGACAGCCTGTAGAAACACAGTTCTGTTAGAATTTTATAAAAATCAAACAAATCTAGATCACATCGTCTAAAGCAAACAGTTCAACAGTGCCTCTCTCCGACGTCTTTCCATCAGCCTTCTAGTGGAGGTGGTTGTGTTGGCTATGTATTTGAAACTGCTAACTTTGAATAATCTCTGTAGAAAGACTGAAGAGGTTCACTTCACAGAAGGGAGGCACAACTTTCTCATCTTTTGTGACCGCAATATTTACATACTGCTTGGTACATGATAGGTCCTCAGTAAATCTTTTCAAGTAAATAAAATGCTTTTTTTAATGAATAGACAAAACTTCACAAATAAACTTTTCATACAAATTGCTTAAGCTTAGAGTGGTCCAAATACCTACAACAAGTCACTGTTGCCATCAAATCCTCATCATTTTTCCCCAACCACTCTGTGTCCTTCAGGCTTTCCTAAAGTTGTGCAGTTTGCATGTCTCAAAAATCCAAATATGTCAACTCAGAGACTCACCCTAAAGACCATAGAATGTTAATCTTCCTCATATTTTCTGCTTATAATTTTCCCCAATTTTTTTTTTTACCTGAATGCTTCTTAAAACATCTGGCATTTGATATATCACACCATATTTTTGTACATTTATTTTTTCCACTCACATTTTGGGAGCATTATAGAAATGTATACCCTCTAGTAACACAATGTTTCAATGTATATATGTCACTGACAATATAAATGACAATCAAAACTCAAATAGAAGGACATGCAAGCTTATCCTTTGATTGAGCACAGAGCTATGTACATGGATATTGGAGACACTGACTTAATTAGTGCAATGTCACAGATCTTTTCCGAGATCAATCTGTTTGGACAAATTCAGAGTGTTTTCTCTGTGATTAGGAGAATGCTATACACTGGTAAGATGAGTTAGAAATAGAGCATACAATTAGCAATCAGTATTTGTTACAGTAATTGCTCTTTATAACATGTCAACAATCCTACAAGATATTATTAGGAATGTGTGAAGACAGATAATTTCATCACCTTGCCCAAATTTACAAAACATGTAAGCAGTAAAGACAAAACTAGACTTCAAATCTATTTTAAATTTTAGTACTCCTGATGGTTCATAATGTGCCGTTTTCCTCAATAAATAGAACAGGATTGTCCTCTGAATAATAGAGCAAGAGTCTTGACTAACTTGTATATCACAATTAACTAGCACCATGTCAGTTCTCACACACAAGAAGAGAACTAGATGTTTAAATATGTAATTATTTCAAGTGTGCCTAATGCTGCAAAACTAAGTATAACCTTTGTTAATAAGTAGCATTTTCTTTCAAGAAAAAGTTGAATATTTTCTTAGATGTTCTTTGACTCTGCATCCCAAGTCTCGGTACAAACGGGGACAGTAGATCAGGCCTTTTCCAATAGAGGCTACTTCTAGACTTTAGAGGGTATGCCTGATAAACCAGTACAGGTTCTTAATTTCAAATCTCAGATGAATGCCAAAGTTTCATGTCTGCACATGAATTTGAAGTCTTGTCTATAGTAGCTTCTTGGAGAGTCACATCTGGGCCACCAACAGAGGCTTCATCTGGACTTTTGATAAATTCACACTGTAGCTACTGACTGTGGGAATTGATAAATGTCTTTGACTATAACATGGAAAGTCTTTCTACTTTTTACATGTTATTTGTCTCTAAAACAACACTAAATGAGGTCCTGTCAAACATTTTACATAATATTGGATAGTGTATGCTAATTAGTTTTCAAGATACAAAATTGGAACATTCTTAAAGCCTTAGTGCATTTGGAATGTGGACATCCACAGTATTCTGCTCTTCACAGAACGATGTATGAGGGAGTTCAGGGGTAATGGCTTTTCTGGCAGTTAGCTTATTTGGAATCTTAAGATATGAAGATATCCTTCGAACATTATTTTCAGACCATCTACTTTGTTATTTCCCAGCTCCTAGTCATGTGATAAATTCCTTCATTGCGAGGTTAACTAAGGCCAGGCCTCTTCCCGCTCTATCTTTTCTTTCTCTCCTATGAATTTGAGTTGTAAGTTCAAAGGGACATGTTAGAACTGATATATTCTAGTTAATGGTCTTCCCATGTGTTTAACTTGGATGACATCTCGAAAATTTCCTTCCTGTCTAATGTGGTTAGATAAGAAAATCATTAAAGTATTGGAGCTCAGCAAGCTTTGAAAGTTATTGGAATTTATCTTTTGCTCTGTTTTTAGAGGCAGCAATCTTCTATGGAAACAATACTCCTGGCGGTAGGGTCTTATGAAAGATGACTATGTGCACAAGCTACCATAACAAAAGCACAATCCAACAGTTGTGTGGCTTGCAGAAAGGTGTCAAGCAAGGCAGTTTTATGGTTTTTGTCCAGCTGTAGAGACTATAATTTGGGCAAAATTCAGTAAGTAATAGAATGAAGATTATTCTTCTAAACAAAGTTTGAGAATTAAATACACGGTAGATTTTCTTGCACCAATTGACCAAAACATTCATGGTTTATTTTGTGTCCTAAATTAGGACATAATTTATATTTGGTTTTCTTGAATGTCTAGGCTTACATCTAATTCTCTTCTAATATTATTGCCCAAAATATTTGAAACTCTTGTTTAAAACTAGGCAAATAACTTCTGCAAAGTTGAGACTATGCTAATGAGCACAGTGATTTAGATTTTTATCTCAAAATAGTAAAGTGAGTTTGGTAGATGTCACTCAGCTTTCTAGTTCCTCAGCCAACCCAAATGCTTTCTCAGCCTATGAAGTGCACAGAACATTTTAATGGAATATCAATGCTAAAATAGCAGAGATATTTGAAGATAGAGCATAGTTAACACAGAAAATTGTACAGAAAACGCCTGGGCTCGGAAAAATATAAGTTATAGAAGGCTTGTATTATAAACAGATATTTCTTATAAACTTTAAATATTTCTGAATTCTTTTCTTTACTGGGTCTTTCCCCTAGCTACTATTAAATTGTAAAAATGCAATCAGTAGAACTTGCTTTGTGTAAGGGATAGCTAGTTTTAGGAGGAGAAAAAAGTTTCCCTTTTTCTCTTCCACATTATTTTCTTTTTCTACTTGTTTGAAAAAATATTTAGAATATACATTCATTTCATTTAAATAATGAAAACAATAATAACATTTCCCAAGGGAATGAGTAAGAGAGGATGAGCCTTTGTTTGAATTATCCGTGATAAGGCATTTGCGGGCTCTAGTTTTTATGAGTTGAAAAAAACAGATATACATGGTACTCCAACTCCTCTATTATGACAGTTTATGCTTCCTAAACAGGTTATTTAACTCAAATGCCTGGGAAATCGACACAATTAGCATCTTCTGGAACAATACTTAACTTAAACATTCCCTACAGACTAGAAACCCACTGTATAAAATATAAGTAAGTTTATGCAGAATTATTTCTTCTTTAAGATCCTGAAATTTTTTTCAATTTAAA